GCTCAATGATTGCATTCAAATATTTTTGCTTTCATTCACAAATAAATAAGCAACCAACTGGTCACCCAGAGGTTCATGTGAATACTCTTGATTGGAAGGCAATTCAGTGTTTCACCTGGTAGGAGGCAATCAATCACTATCCTGCAGCAGCTACATCACTGGTTGTGGAGACATTTCAGTTTCAATTCTGAGTCTGGCTGGACCAGAAGTGTCAAACATATTTTAAATCATGGCCCACATACAGCCCACTTTGTTCTTAAGTGGGCCGGACCAGTGAAAGTCCTCCTTCTGTTACATTTAATCTATAGGATAACTCACCTTTTCTATAAGAAATGGTTTAATTTCAACAGCACTATTCATTCTTTTTCCTTTTTTTGATAAAGTAACGCTATTGTTCAAAAGTCCAAAATCTATGCCCTCCTTCACTCATTCAGTGGGTTGGACTGGAGTCATTGCGGGGCCGATTTTGGCCCCTGGGTCTTATGTTTAACACCACTCTGACTGTAAGTATGTGAATATCTGTGTAATGTGAGTTTCTCTGCATGTACATAGTAACAGGTTTATGATTTTTGTAGATTTTTGCCATTGTTATCTTAAACAGATTACTTATAATTGCTAACCTGACCACTCTCAGCTACAAACAGACAGTTTATTGCACCAAAATTGCTTTGGTGTGTCAAAATGGCAGCTTAATTTGAATAGTCACAGACTTCGTACCCATCTTTGAATAATTTTAAAGGCAGCAAGTTTGCAAGTTCCTGGTGTCACAGCTTCCAACCACTCATGTGGATACGCATTTGTCACTGCTAAATGCTACAAAAAGAAATAATGTATGGCACTTTGATAAATTAAGTGTATATTGATGATGTCACTGTATTGCTGTGAAATAATGCATTAATGTTCCAAAATCCAGCATTTACAAACAGTTACATCAAGTGTGTTACATAAGTTCATCATCATTAGGCGCCCTTTCCTGTGCCTTTTTTTAGCACAAGCATTCACCCGATGTCAAGGAGAGCAAGAACAAAATGCCACAGACTAAGAAGTCTATTGGATTGGGAAGTGCTGTAAATGTTTAATCCTAATGGCTTGCTTACTTGAAAAGTGATTAAACAACTAATAGCTTAAATGAACAATAAACATATTGTGTTATTAAAAAGTAAGGAGTTAGTTTGTATTATGTTAGTCTCAACACTGTTAACAATTAATGTATAATATATTCCTTCACAGTAACAACTCCAATCCCCAAGTTAGCTTGTATCTCTACTACACATTGTTGGGTCTGTGTAAAGTCGGGTGCATCAGTCTTTCCTTGTTTTGATGTATGGGATGAGGACTGAAATGCATAGTAAATGTACCATAAAAACAAAACACATGGCTAAAACATTCTGTGTTCCAGTAATTTTGTATTTTTTGTGTTCCTGCACAAAATGGATCTTCGCGTTTATAGTACATCTCCCATTACCAGTGAAGGTTACCTAATAGAAACAAATGTTTTTTTTTTTCAGGTTGTTGCAAAACAGGCAATCCAATATGCTTTGTTGTTTTCCCGACACTGCTTCTGTTGTTTGTCTCAGGGCTGAACAGGAGGAGTAATTAAATGTTCTCTCATCCTCACCATTATCCATAGTCAGGGCAATGCTTCGCCATGGGTATTGTGCTTACTATTGATTAAGAGACTAGAGAAATACAGACTGATTGAGAAACAGAAAATATATTTTGAAGTGAAAGAATAGATGGGAAGATAGGAGAAGATTATAAAATGAGCCACAATTTGCCGTTTGTTGCAAACCACCCAAATTATCTTTGTAGAGCAACAACTGGTCAAGACGCATATAAAGCCTTATGATTGTCCTGTACATTTACTGTAGAAATCTAGTTTCTGCACAGGGACTCACATGCCCCGATATTATTTTTTTTCTAAAAAGTGCATGTTTGCCTTTTAGACAAAATATTCAATTTTTACACAAGTACAATGCTTTTACAGCTGCAAGAGCACCAAAACAGGGCTCATAATGGATCGCTTCGAAAGCTCCAGGAACACCTTCACGTAGTTTACTCTATCTCTTATGTTCAATTACATTACTGTAATTTACACTTTCATAACCACAGACAAGACTGGTCATAATGTGTTGAGTTGATGCTCTGCTTGCAGTTACTTCCGTTGTGAGATATGCATTGACTGCTTGCAGTCTGCTGGCCCAGATAGGCTTGTGTTGTGTCTATCGAGCAGGGCACTGTCCCACATTCAGACTGCTCTTCATTCCCAGAGTGACTAACACATTGACAACAACAGTAAAGTAAATGGATGTGTAATGGGGCACTCGGGCGACTGCGTCACCCGAGTGCCCCAAATACAAGGTATATGTGGTAGTTTCAACTAAGTAAAAATAGTATTATGAATGTTTGACGATGCTTCTGCTCTTTGCTTATTTGCTTACTTTTAAAAGAAAAAAAACCTAAGTCATCTAGTCATCAGTCATCATATGAATCACTGCTGATAAAACTTAAAAAATCTTACTTAGCATAGGATGAGAGGTGAAGATGCTGAGCAAAGTTCTCCATACCTAACCCATCAGCACGCATTTTAATTTAGTTTAGAATTGCAGTAGTAGTTATTGTGAATTAAAATGGTCGACTCTGAGTTTAATAACTGGTAACTGTAATTCTTGAATGTGATCATCAAATAATCAAATATCAAACATCAAATGATTATAGAATAATTCTAAATGTTTTGAAGTATCACTGTTCTCTGGACAAGGATGTTTATTGCTAGAAAGAACAAAATGGAAATTGTTGATGTGGCTGGGAATTTCAAACTCAATATAAAAAGTGGAATTAAAATTGATCATGACATAAAGTTTGCATGTAGCTGTTTGTGGTTCAGGATGTTTGTAGGTTAGTTTATGGCATATACATAAGAGTCCTATTGCTTCATTTTTAAAATTAATCATTTAAATTTAAAGAAATAAAGAAATGTATGTTTCTCTTCTTTATTCAATTACATTCAGCTCATTTACTTCTTTGAATTTATGTGAGAAAGACTGAAAAGTCATTAGCACATGTGCTCAATAGATTGTATTCACTGAATATTTAGCATGCAAAGTCTTCTAATACAAAAAGCAAAATTGAAACAACCAACAATTTTGCAATTTTGAATCGGTTCTTCAAACATTTAATTTTAACAGAGGTGTGAATCATGCAGATGGAGAAGTGGCTTCTCATTAATTAGAAATGTTTTGGTCTGCTTTCATTGCTGTTATAAAATGGCTGGGAAACGAGGTCAACCCGTCTGTCTGTGTGTCTGATCAGTGGATGAGTGCATTTTCATAACTCTAATACCATTTTGGTATAATGAGAATGAAGTCACACAGTGCAACAATAAATGCAGATTAACTTTTTTAATGCAAAAAGAAGAAGAGGGAGATTACATTCATGTGGAGCACAGTAACATACCATATATGGCAGTATGCTTTTTTTAGTCTTTATCCATTTTCTGGCATTTCAAACAGGCTGGCCTATGTGGTACACATGCACTAAAGAAAATATTTACCACTCTTTAAGTGCTCAGGGAAGTTTTGCATTTAATTCATTTAAAGGATTGGTAGGTTAAGGAGCACATCTAATGCAGAAACACATCAAATGCTGAAGGAGCACACTGACATATTATAAATAAAGTTATCTGCAGTATTTGTTTAACATACTGTACATGTTTAAGAATATATAAACAGTAAATCTGAGTATTGCATCATGCAGAAAACTATTTTCAGCAAAGATTGGATGGAATTCAGTGGAAGAGTATCAGCAGGACATTGTATTTCACTGTAACCTTGATGGAACGTCTGCTGTTTATGCTGCTTTTTTTGGTTAATTAGGTACCAATCCATTATAGAATGGAATTTAAATTACTCTTTAACTCTACTTGCAAACTTTTTTGCTAGTCGATAATCCGTAAAAAACTCATTACAGTTCAGTAACACATTTTAAACCGACCAAATCACCAGAAATGATGAAGGGAATCTCATTCGGGAATCTTTGACTGCCTAAACAATTTTATCATTTAGAACAGAAGTGAAAGCTAAACTCTGCCTGTTGAGCTGAGTGAAATGAGCTGACAGATTACCTGCAGTTTAAGATACACAGTATTATGCAATAACAACATCGAAGTGCAATTGATTATTTTGGCACAGTTTCAGATATTAAGTGGTCACTCACTTAGTTGTTCATTGTAAACACACAAACTACCACAGCAGGTATACTTACCTGCATACAACAGTGTCTATTTCACAGACGAGGTAAGACAAGTAGTGGCAGGGCTGAGCAATAAAGCAATAATGATAATTACCACAATATAGTTTCCTCAGTGATAAAATATATCAGAAATATTCATAAATCCAGTGAACTCTTGAAAAGAGAGAAAATAAAGCAGAGAGACCCTCTTCCCATTGAAAAAGACACCCTGCACAACATTTGTGCTGCTTGCTGTGACCCATGTTTTATTGTGATAGCACCCTCTACTTGGCAGAGTAATATAATGAAAGCAAATAAGAAGGATGACGCAGGGCTGCAAAGTCCACAAAGAGAGGGTTGGGAATAGATGTATAAGATGGAACAGAACATACAACATGTAGGCCACCCAGTGACTTATATATAACCGGTGCTGTTTATTATCCAGGAAAACTTTATTTATTAAATTATTATATAAATTTATTTCAACCAATGAGTACTTGAAATGTGTTGCTTAAACCAACACCTGGTTTCTATGTGTAATAACCATTCAGGTTAGGAACAGTTACTGGTTGTAATATATGTAAAAGAATGTGAACGGGCCACAACCAGACAAATCATTTATTTTGCTATGAAAATTCCTACAAATTTCTGACCAACTGCAATCACGGAGGTAAACAAAGGTGCGATGAAAGAAAGAAAGAAAGAAAGAAAGAAAGAAAGAAAGAAAGAAAGAAAGAAAGAAAGAAAGAAAGAAAATTCAGTTATAAAAAATAAAATAATAATAACTCAGTTTTAGTTTTATCTGCTTTTTGCAGATCAGTCCAAGTGGCCACATCATGACTACTTGGACTGGACAAGTCAAATTTGGGAAGTAGGCAGCTGGTGAGAAAAAATAGAGTTGGGTTAGGGCCAAAAAGCTTCAGATTCAGGTTGCAGAATGTTCACTGTTAGGATTTTGAAAATTCACAGTGCACAACCATAGTAATCAGTCACACACACACACACACGCGCGCGCGCGCACACACACACACGTACACAGATATGTTCTTGGTCATAATCCAACTACTTGCTGTGATATGAAGTTTGGTGTCTGGTCTCTCAAGTCTAAGGACCATTGTGAAATCACAGGTTCACAGTTGGTCACAACTGTACGTCCATGTAGTGATCAAGCAGTAACAATCCAGAGGTGCACATGGAGATTACCATAAAGGTTTTCTTTTGCTTTTAGGACTATTTGAACAACTCATTTGATTTCTTTATTGACTGTAAAGTTTCTTTTCTACAGAAATGCATATATCAATTCAAACCACCACTTACCAGTCTCTATTTGAGTCTTTTATTTGAGTCTATAGCCTATAATCACATAGTGCATGAGGGATATAAAAATAAATAACTTACATAGCTAAAGAACTAACAAAACATAGCAAATATTGTGATAACTATCATTATTGCATGATACTGTACTTTTATTTTGATATTTCAGACAGATTGCTCAGCAAACCATTAGCTTATAATCATCCACACTCATTGTATTGTATATTGCAGTCCACAGAGACACGTTTTATCTAGAGGGATTGCATGCATGGAGCTGGTGTTGATAAAGGAAACAGTCAAGCAGGTCACCCCCATCCTTGCAGATTCACAGTATTAAGAGATTTCAAAGGATAAATGATCTACAGTAAAGGTCCAGTTTTATTGCCACTGTTTGTCAAACAGACCTTCGTTGTCCTCGCGCTTGTGCCCTGTTGACTATATCCTGGTACATCTTGGACCTGAGAAACCGTGGGTAGGAGTCTTTCTCCATGAGGCTGTAGATTTTACCTTGGACTTCATTGAGGCTGGTTGGGGTGGGATCCGCCAGGCTCTGCTTAGTCTTCTCCCTGGTACGGTAGTCAATGTTAATCTGCCAGGACAAAGAGAGGAAAGAATAATTTTGAAGAAAAGAGTCATTTACTTTCATTAATGTAATAGTCAGTTTGTTATAATGAATAATAAAATGTCCCCCTTAACTACATGCATGAACCTTCTCTGACGTCTTCTTCTTTTCCTCCTGCCTGGCAGCTCCATATGCAACATCCTTTTCCCAAAATATGCACTATCCATACTCTCCAGTATATGTGCAACCAATCTTGGTCTTATCTCTCTTTGCCTACAAACTTTGTCTACAAACCACTCAACCTGAGTGGTCAGTCCCATCTTGGTCAGTCCCAGTGGACATCTTAGGATCCTCAGCGCTGCCACCTTTAGTGCCAGCTTCTGTCTTTTTGTCAGTGACACTGCCAAACCATCATAGCAGGTCTCACTACCATCTTGTAAATCTTCCCTTTCAGTCTTGCTGCTATCCTTCCTTGTCATACATCACTATCCTGTTACCATGATAAGAATCTTTTAATTTCTTTTGACTGGGTTTATCATGGGTTTAAAGTAGTGAATCATGGGTTTAAAATTAATAGTCAAGTCTGTAGAAAACTGCATTAACTCACCTCTCTTGGTGCCTGAACCTCAACAAACTCCTTAAATATCTTGTTTGCTTTTGACACCAGCTTAGCTGAGCTCTTGATTTTTTTGTAGTCTTCACAGGCCATCCAAAACTCAATATTCTCATCACTGAATTCTGACTTAAGAAATGTCCGGAAAGCTGCCAGCCCATCTGAGAACAAAAAAAAAAAAAAAAAAAAAAAGAATCAAAAAGTTAAAGAATGTAAAATATAAAAACACATAAGACTCACGTTTCTGTACAGCAGCTCATTTTACCCTTTATTATCTTTTGGTGTATGATGAACATAAGCAGGAAATTGTATTATAGTTACAGCATAAATAAATCAGAACAAAATATTCCAACAAAGAGAACACATTTTTGTCAGCCAAGATAAGTGAGTAATTAATGTGCTCCCTGTTGACATTATGAGAAGTGGGGCATGTTTTTCTATGTGCCTGTGTCATGCTGACATGTCATTTCCACCCTTTCTGCTGTTTACCTCTTAACACAGTGCAATGCAGCAATACTGTTTTGATTGGCCTCGAACAGCATATACGCTTACTGTGGTGCTTAAAAATTTGTAAACACATTACAATTTTTTGTTCTACTTACCAACAAAAGCATGAGAAAAAAAATCTTACTTTTTTTTTTTTCCAAAAAAAGGCGAACTCAATTAAACCAAATGAGACAAAAAGTATCACACTTCATTTATTTGAGGATGACTGACAGAAGAATATGTTTTCTGTATCATTTGGGACCTCGTTCATCACAAATGAGTGCGAGAACTGGAGCTAAACATTTCCAGTAAAAATCACTGTTGGATATCAACTTAATGGACATTTTGCCATATTTGTCTCTAAACAAGTATAGGATGATGTCAGGTTTTTGCACATGAACTGTTACGTTTAGGTCGTTTTGCAGATTTTTTGTGTTATTTGAAGGTTGTTTGTAGATAAATGAAACAAAAGCAAACCTGTTTTACGTTAAAGATACACGAGCAATCCACTTCTATGGCTATATAAGCACTAACAAGCACATAGGCACAATTCTAGGTTCCTGTTAGACACCATCACCAGACTTCTTACCCCTGCTCAATCTGGTTTTCCTACCATGACTGTGATTTTTTTTTTTTTTTTTGCTGGTAAGGTCAATGGTATCAGATCACAGTTCAAGCCAGGAACCTTCCAATCTGTCCAAGTGTCTCAGCCCACCCCATTGTCTGAGTTTTATCCTATTTCCATGACAGATCTGCCAGATATAGTTTGCATATGTGCACTTCTTCATGCCCAATTGATATTCGTTGCAAATGAGGTTCTACTTATCACCTCCACCTCCTGTCCATTATCAGCCTGTCTCTATCTTCTGTGTGCATGCCAGATTTCTTTAAAACAGTCACTGTCATCCTTTTGCTTTAAAACCTCTCCCCAGATCCCACCATTTCAGACATTTACAGCCCATTTCGAAACCTCCATCAATTTGCTAAATCCTTAAGAAAGTTGTGGACCATAAGTTACATATTTCTCCTGTCCTAACCCTTTTAGACATTTCTGGTACAGAAACATTAACGTTTTTTTCCTCTCTGTATTTTTTCTCCTAATCTGTTATGCATAAAAAAAGGTATTGCTTGTTATTTTGTTCTAACAAGTCACATATAGCTAACAGTGCCCACAGGTTGAATGCATCCAGATGAAACACACAGTATTCTTTTTAAAGCAAATTAAGGTTAATACCTTATTACAGGAACATCCAGCACTCTGTTCCTATTGATTTAACATCACTTATGTAATCCAAATATGTGTGTGTTTGTATCTACATTTTGTAGTGTGCTGCTCTAATGCTTGGTCAGTGGAAACAGGATGCACAGGTGCATCACGCTCCCTGTGTCTAGGGAAATCCTCTACATGTAGTTTTGCCTGGGAAACATTATTTTGTTGTGTGTCAAACTGATGTGTTAAGTCATAACCTCAATTTTAATGAAGCTGTTCAAGTGAGTATGACTTTTCAAGACTACCATTTGTTAGCCTAGTGTTATGGAGTTCATCACTGAACAAAACTGGGATGCAGCTGTTGCCACCCACCCTTTGGACTCCAACGCTTATTAATTTTTGCAAAAATCTTGTCCAAAACACGCTAATAACTACACGCATATTACTGACTTGTTAATATTTCAGTGTCTATTAACTGACAGCAATCTTAAAAGTGCAAGTAACACCGTGCAACAAGGATACATTGATTTGGATAGCACTTCAGTTTTGGTGTATGTATGAGAATTATGGTGTGTTTTAAAGTCTTGTTCTTTATTGTCTTTGCTGATGAAATGATGAGGAAACAACAGGAGGGAAATATGTGTTTTTTAATCTGCCAGGTTTGTAACTGCTCATAAACCCTGGTATCTTTCACCTGGAAAAGCCCTAAATTGTACCGTATGTAAAGATGAATGAATTTCATATAATTGTACTAAGAACAGAATTCACAGACACCCAGCTAAAGCATTCACCTAGCATTTCAATTAAAAAAACAAAAAAAGAGGGTAACTGTGGATTGACATTTAGTTAGCAAGGACACTAAAAATAAAGATGGTCCTGGGTGAACTTTAAAAAAGTGAAATGATACAATGATGGACACCCTAAACCTTTCCTGTAATCGAACTACTGGGATAATCACGTTATGGTTTTAGACATTCATCATTCACCCAATATCCAGCAGTTCAAGCTCACTCATGTTTGGTTATATTTATGTATAACAAAACAATGATTTTAATTATTTGAGACAATATTTGGCAAATTAATTGGCAAAAAAAGACAAACAAATAGCTAGTTATAACCTCATGTGTTTCTTTATCAAAATTTTTTTTTACAGTATTTCTCTCACCTTGCTACAGATACTGACACATTATTGCCACAATCATTGGTCATATAACTGGACAGGTATACAGTGTTTTTATTACCATTTTTAGGGAAGCATATGTTGTAAATTGTGTGCTTGATCTATGTACATGTATGCATACGTACAATAAGGAAGACAAAGCTGTCAGCTCATCAAATGTTACTTGGGGGTCAACAGTCCCAAAGGTATCATTAAACTCATCCAGTACTAGTTGACTGACCCAAGATTTTGAGTTGTTCCAGGAAACGTGGAAAGGACCTCAATCAGCCTAGATTAAACATTCACTTCCTACAAACGACGATTGATTTCTATATCAGTAAAAAAAAATTGATTTGACCTTTGAGGTTCAGCAGAACACGAGCATCCTAATTGTAGGAGGAAAATGTTCGAATTTGATTTGAGTTGATCCGACTCTCACCAAATGAATGTGCCCTTTACTCTTTTAGTTTAGAGTTTTCTGTCAAAGATGCTACGTCACATGGCTTGTCAGCAGAAAATAAATCCATGACCCATTTGTGCAGACAGACATGTGAGTTGTGAGTGCGTGCTGCTGTCTTTTTGGTCCAAGGGGAAGGTCAAAGACGAGGATGTGACTCATTATGCGGCACGGACTCTTAACAACAAAGAAATGACACACTTGGATAACATGGGCTTGAGAGGAGAACAGTAAAATTTGTTTTTCCTGAGTGAAAAAAGGAAAGTATTAAAGAAACTGGTAGGGGCTTGTTTACTTCTGTATAAGGTGGCTTTCATTTTCTTGGGGCTGGCTATGAGTGTTCTGTGCAGTATGAACTGTTCCCTCAGAAAATAGAAAGTGTTCACTTACACTTATGAGTGAGGAGGCTATCGAATGATTCAGACCATCGAACAACTTCATCGGTTGATAGTCTGATGGAGAGAAAGACAACAAGAAGTGCCTCAATTACATGCTAATCAACAACTATGCTTTAATGCATTTTGAGTCCCCTGCAGTGTTTTATATAAATTCTTGAATGGCAACTGAGTTTAATGCATGATTAATTCCTCCTCATACTAATTCTTCTTCTCAAGGCCATAAAATATTTCAAATAACAGGTTACTTTTAAAGATTGGAGGAGACAACAGAGCTACAATTAAATGATTAATGTCTTCCACAGCATGTGCAAAGCAGTCTGAAATATTTTAAAACAATGCCACAAGTTACTTTAGTGAGGATGTGTTAGAACATTTGACAGTGTACCTTTTTTCCAACTGGCCAAAATAATATTTACTTGATTACTACTAGCCTAAGTGCAAAAAGGTCTATGTTAAACCGACAATTATGCTGTACAGTTTGCTCTGTCTGTGCTTTCGGCTCATACAGTTAATGACATTGAGAAAAGATTTTTAAAAAATGGGGTATTTATATGTATATATATATATATATATGAAGATAAATATGGAACTCAATGTCCATTTATATGCAGCAACATGTAAGTAAGTAATCTATATATGATTAAGGGACTGTGTGTTTCATTGTCAAAAGAATAAAAATCATAAAAAGTGGCATGCAAGATTAAATTCAATGAAATACTTTGTAAGCAGATCTATAAAAGAGGACTTTTTCATTTCCACCATGAATCTGTATTTACATGCATTATGGTGAACCTGTACATATGAGTAACATGCACCTGACAAAGAAATTTCTTGGACATGCTTTAAAAAAAGACTGGAAGGTTGGCTAGATCAATTCACACGGCTTGAAATGCCATCGCCTAACATACATTTAGAAGGTTACTGATCCAACATTAAAGTTTTGATGTAACCCCAAAGTACAGTAAGCTTGACTTCATAATATGTCATATGATATAATGTAATTTCGAGGCCGTAAACACAATTTGGAAATACCAAAAATGGTTATATTTAACATTATATAATATTATTATATTATTTTGATATATTACATGTCATTGTGGTGAAATTAAACTGACCAAAGACAATGTTATAAAATGCTATACATGCTATAAATTTCAGCCAGTTGATAGGTGAGTGCTAGGCAATGTGATGATATCATAATATCTGATATAGATAAGAATCAGACAGTTTCGAAGCCTAAAGTGCATTTGTTTGCCAACTTAGGTTGGGCAGACAAACAAATAATGGTTTAGTGCAGCAGTAACATTCATATAGTCATTACAGCGGGACATGCACTGCTGAAGTTATCTCCTCTAGTAAATGCCAAGGGTGATTCTTGCAAATATGTTATGACTTAGGACTTGCATTAATAATAATAGCTATAATAATAAAAATAATACTTGTGTCATTCTCAGAATGTATAATACTTTTGCCGACATACTGCTCAAATGGAAAGCAATAAATTACATTCATATCACCTCAAATTAAAGGAAGTCTTAAAGGCAACTTTTCCTTGAAAGGTCTGATAATTCTAATTATTTCACACAACAACAGGTCAAGCACAAAAATAATTTGTAGTCTTATAAAACCAACACAGGAAGGCTTTTTTCTGGCAAACTCACTTCAGACACCTGGCTGTGGTTTCGTGGGCTGGAGGCAGGAATTCTGAGAAGTCATTGTAGGAGTCAGATTTGTGGGACAGGCAGCCTAGTCTGGTCTTCATGGTGCAAATCTTGCTGAAAAAGAACACAGTATTTAATGGTTTTCAATATTTTTTTTTAAATCATGAAAACTGACTTTTGCATCATTTTCCACATTGTCTTGGTACTTTGCAAGAGTCGCCACTTTATGTAACACTACCTGCATCAGGACTGAACCTGTGCTCCAAAATCATTCACAGCACTTTAACCACAACACAACTCCAACCTTCTCCACTGGACCCCCTCCCCCCAACCCCTTCTTGCTTTTCCCTGTGTCATGCTATTTATAATATACCAGAAACACCTCTGCTATCAAGAACCTTGCTCTTACATAGTTGCTGTTGCCAAGGTGGCTAATCATACGTTTTGTCTTTGCGTAATTGGGCTGTTCCTTCAGATGATGTATTTATGTTCTCAAATGTTGATGGATGGCCTGCTGAATAAGCTGATCATAAAGAAACAAGATGCAGGCCAACTGAATCCAAAAGACAGGACTAAACATGGACAACAGGTGCAACTCCATATGCAATGGCTCTGCCTCATTCAGAATGAAGCTTCAAACATCACTGATACCCAACTTCCCTTCCTGAGAAGGTGTTTTGGTGTGGCTGTATAATGCACGTGATGCAAAGTTTAAAATGATTTTCACAGAGTGTGAAAAGTAAAGATTTTTTTTTCAATTTTTCTGATCATTTTACCTGCACTATAGATAATAAAACAAATAAAAAATGTATTTTTGCCGCTATTCTGCTCATCATCTTATTTATTACCATTAAACCAATCACAGTGATAGAACTCCCACCCAATAGCTAGGCTTATTTGTGATTTCTCTATAAATGTATCATGTTTATAGTATTTAGATGACCATTCAACATGTGGGGAGTCTTTAAAAGCCCCACTGTGTATTAACACTCACCCCACCCCCATCGCCCACACCCAACCCCCAACAAAAGAAAAAAACAGCATCTCTCATGGACCACACTGAAACAAACCATATCTCCATCTCTCATCACAGTCTGTCCTGTTTCATTTGTACACTGCTGCTGCCATGTACAATTTGTCACTGTTCTGCCTCTGGGACAGATGGGTCACTCCAGATGGGGCATGGTTATAAAGATGCTGTTTTTTAAAAGTAAGTCTATACGGATAGTCTCAATAAACTGTTATTAAGTCTCAGTGTTGTCATTAGTACTACTTACTTCCTTACGTAATTTTAACTGTAAATCCAGTGATGTCTGTCATCACTGAGGAAAAGACGTACCCTAACTAATAATTCTATGCTATATTTATTATATATTATATATTTGTGTAATTTGACTTTCACCATGTCTTGATATTGTAGATCATTCATTAAATTTCAGATTTTAATTTTCATAAAATACTTAGTTTGCTAACTGGAAAAAAGCTAAACTAGTTATCTATCAGTTGTTATACATTACATGAACAAAAGTACTGAGCTACCTACACGTTACACCTGGAGAAGCTGCTCTGCCGTGGAAGCTCATACTACGAAGCTCCCAGCACACAGTTTTTGTCCCGATGTAAATGCCAAGAGGAGTTTTGGAGAAACATTGATGACTTTATGTGGCTTTTTTTCTTGGTGACTGAGTTGTTGTCGTTGGTAAACACTTCCACTTCCACACATACATTTGAGCATGGAACACACAAATGGACTTATTGTTTGCAAATACAGACTCAGTGACTAGGTTCTTGATTCTATTCAACTGTGGCACCTTTGTGACTGAAAAACCTTGAATCCAAAGATAAAGAGGTGCGGAAAAGTATCATTGTCCCTACCGTCTTTGACACTTTACCAGATGACTGCATGACTTTTGTTTTATCTGTAATAAAAGCCAAATAAAGTCACTCTTTGTTTGTTTCCAGTCTTTCAGCTGATCTACGGTAAACAGCTGCTGACAGTAGCACGTATTTGGGTAAAGATTTGTCTTGTCCACTCACTTTGTTGCAGTGTTACATCTACAGGATGTTTGCTTGGCTTTGGTGATAGTTCTGGTTTGTAAACATTTCCAGATTGGGCTACTTTATTAGACACTGTTGAGCTTTAGAATGACTCAAGCAGCTTGTGTCTCCATCCTTCTTTCCATTGTAGTAGTCCATCCATCATAAAAAGCCATTATCCCAGTTTAGTGTCCCTTTTTCTTTGATGATATCAGTGCAGCAGAGGAGTTGGAGCACTGGATTGTTTTGATGTTTGGACCTTGAAGTGGGAACATTGCATGAAATGTACTGTTTATTAGCTGACCGAAATCCATTTGCTGGACATAATGGGCTTCGTCCACCACATGAATTCCAAAGCTCTTTAAAATATCACTTTTTGTTTTCCATCTATCCACTCGTGGGTGTTTTGAGGGGTTGCATGCATGTAAGAGAGTGTACGTTCACTTATGTTTGGGCTGCACTAATGCAGAAGGTTTGTGGTATTGCTATTTAATGAAATTTGTTCAGCACTCTGCCATTAAGTGGAAGAGTTAAGCCAGTGAAATAAATCTATGTTCACAGAGGAGAACATGAGGTTACAAAACAATCAATGAAACCTAGAAGATTGTGCACTGACAGATTTGTTTGGGTTTCAGTTAAGAGTTAATGCTCTGTCAAAAACCTTTTCTATTCATCAAACGTAAATCTAAATAAAGACTGTAGGCGGGTTGTTTCAGATGCACTGCAGATGTGATGCAGCTTGCCCCAGAAACGCCCAAGTTATATATCGGATGTTATATATAAAACAAATCCACTCAACTAGAAAGGCAGCTTATGTGTCATCTATATGAGTCATAATCTCAAGGTGCACTTAACACAAGGTATTATTGAAAATTCATTTTCAGAGAGGAAAGCTAAAATAATAGGCAGGGATATTTTAAACATGATAGACTATGTATAGACTTGTAGTTAAGTAAAGATCACTAGTGAGGGCTGAGTTGTGCGTCAGTAGTTAGGAACATTAAAAAAAAAGACTGATGTTAGAATGAAACAAATATAGCAATAACACCAGAAAGATTAAACTTTAAAATATCACATGACAAATTTGTAATGTCATTTTTTAAATCAAAATTGTCAAATTTAGTGGCTGTTAAGCAGCTTTTACACACAATTTCCCCCACAAGATGATGCAAAGCTTTAAACCTATTAACATCCACCAGATTGCTGCCGATTCCTCTGATGCAGTAGGAGCATTTGGTCTCATTAAGCTAAAGAAGCATAGTTTCAGATACTTAAACATACTTCCCTTTAAGCTCTCTTACATGTGTTTTGGCCTTGCAGTTCTTCACTTGTAGGATTTTGATTTGGATCTGCCATATAGGTGAAGATTTCATAAGAGTTGATGTGTATATAAGCAACCAATCGAAATATATGAGGTTAAGTGTTCAATGGTAATAGGATTGGTAAATTCCATCACCTGGATGGAAATGTACATGTGTCAAGTAGCCTTAAATCAGGTGTGGAACACGGAAACATAGATCTATACATTGCAGAAGGTGCTAACTTTTTTTTTTTTTTATCACTGAAGTAATGTAATCACCAAATCCATTTACTTGTGTATATGTTTGATTCAAATCCGTTTTCAGTTCCAAGCTGAAATGAAAGCATAATGTATTTCTATTTAGTACTGTCTGTTATTAAATTCAATTTGGGAATACTTATTCATATTCAGCAACATAATCATTTCTATTCCATTTTAATTTTGACTTATATTATTAAAAAGCTTAGCTTTGTCTCATATTTTCTTGGCTTAAAAGAATAACCAGGCTGTTTCTTTGAGATTAAAATCAAATGTTTTTCACATTTTATTTAATTCTATTAGTGGCAGAGGGCGTGCACAGGGCATTTAGGTGTGTGGAAACAGCAAAAGGTAATGCACATGCTTTCCTACATGAGTAATAAAACAATAGTGTTTATAAGCTCCTCTTTTACAAATATTATATTTGCCAAGCAGTTTGTGGCAATAAATATCTAATGTAATCAGCTGCTTCTTCAATAAATTTCAATAAATGCTGCAAGTAAACCCCAAATCCACTTGCTGCAGGTGCTGTAAAGTAAGAGACCTTCTAGCCAGCAGAGCAAACGGTGCACTGCAGTCAACAGAGTCGTGTTTGCAGTGATGAACTTTTCAAATGTAGTAGCATGGCCTACTAGTAAATCACAAAAGTGTTGTTCACTCAAACAGGTGATTAAGAAAAAGGAAATGAGTGAACATCCTTAGGTGTCAATTAATAATAGTAGTAATTAATAATAGTCTGTGAGTGAATTTTACAAAAGCAGTATAACAGTGAGAAAACTGAGAAGGGTGCACTTAGCAGACATAAACAATGACGCAAAGCTGCAAGACTCACAACAAATCTCACTTAAAATGCTCTCCAAGAGAATGAAGACTAGTTAGAGAATTGATTGGGATTCAATCCATTTTAGTGGTGCACAAGATACCAGAGGTTAGAGCACAAATGGGGAGTGTCGACATTACTTATTTGCTACTTTACTTAACATAATTTGTAGAAACCAAGCTATGCTTTTAAATGGCACTTCCTGCAAAACAGTGCAGTCATTTAATCATCCCCTTTATGATCAGTGAAAATGAAAGGTTATTTCATGCAGATTGCATAATATATTGAACATATTGCCTTTAGATCGCAATTAGTGATTTAAATTGAAACGCATCTGGTCATGAATTCATGTTTGGCAATAATACTCGAGCATTTAAATTTGAAATACTGGCACGTTAGGCAGCAGCTTTCATCCATTAGAAACTATGCATTATAGTTAGATTTTGTTTGTGTGCCCGTGCCATTCTTTAGCAGGCAGAGGCCATCAAGTGAAATTGATAAGGAGAGACATTTATATATTGATAAGCTTGTTTGGTGAGTGATAAAATTGTCAGTATCATGGCAACAGATGCCCTCCTCCTGTCTTTTCTCCCTGCCTCTTCTTTGTTTAGACAAATCTGTATGTCCGTGGCTGTTGTGAGGTACATTCTTCATCTGCAGTATGATGCAGACACGTGCTGCTGCTACCACTGAGCTATT